ATTATGTTCTGTGTTTTCTATATGCCTTACAGCTTTTGTCCCTCATTTCCAACACTATTATCTTATTTTGTATTTGGTTTTATTAGTGAAATGTTTAAATTCATTTCTCATTCTCATTCTCAGACAGACTCTGTGCCAAGTGCATAGCTGAGGCAGGGCTCAATCCCACAACCATGAGTTCACGACCTGAGGTAACCAAGAACTGGTCTCTTAACCCACTGAGCCACACAGGCATCCCTAAGGCATTTTAAAACTAAGGTTCAGTTCCACTGGTATATATATGGATGGACACATGTGTATGACTTCAACCTATTTCTATTCTCTCTGAAGGACATAACTAGATTAATTTCAAAGTTGACCTTTGATAATTAGTATTATGTTCATACATGAAGTACAGCACATTAATAGATCATTATATCAAAGGGGATTTGTGAATCTTAACCAAGAAGGGAGATCTTAAGAAGAAATGCTCATGTGAAGCTTTCCTCTCTATATAGTACCTACCCACCTTAATAAAAAAAAAAAAAAAAGTTGATTTTTGTCCAGTTGGACATGATAGACTATGTTCAGTGGAATGTATCTGACTACCCTTGGGAAAAAACAAAGAAGTTCTTTCTCATCAGATGGGGATATACACTCTGTCTTTTGATTGGAGAGTTTAATCCATTTACATTTAAAGTAATTACCAATAAGGAGGGATTGACTTCTGTCATTGTGTTCTGTGTTTTCTATATGCCTTATAGATTTTGTCCCTCATTTCCAACACTACTATCTTATGTTTGGTTTTATTCGTGAAATGTTTAAATTCATTTCTCATTTCTTTTTATGTATATTCCATAACTATTTTCTTTATGGTTACCATGAGGATTACAGTTAACTCATAAAGTTATAACATCCTAATTTGAATTTATATCAGCTTAACTTCAATAGTATAACAAAAACTCTGCTCCTTTACAATTTTGTCTCCATCTCTTTCAGTTGTTGATGCCACAAAATTACATCTTTATGCATTGTGTGCCCAAAAACATAAATATTTTAAGTACATTAGTTTCTTATATTATGTAGAAAACAAGATTTGGAGTTAGAAACCAAAATTACAAAAGTTACTAGCTTTTACATAAAATCATTGTTTTTTCTTTAAATGTATTTATGTCTTAAATCATAGGAAAGAAAAAGTACAGGTACAAACCACTGTTACAATTAATTTTAAAAATTTTTGTGTTCTTTAATCAATCAATACTTTGCTTTATAGCTTCCGATTTTGACTCATCCTTTAAAATCTTTTCCCTAACACCTACACAAAAATAAATTCCAGACCTAAATGTAAAAGCTAAAATAACAAAGAATTAAAAAGACAATAACAGGAGAACATCTTCATAATTGGGGCAGGCAAAGTTTTCTTTTAAAGGACACAAAAACAGATCATTAAACTTTATTAAAATTAGCAATTTTTTCGGGGTGTCTGGGTGGCTCAGCGGGTTAAGCCTCTGCCTTTGGCTCAGGTCATGATCCCAGGGTCCTGGGATCGAGCCCCACATCGGGCTCTCTGCCCAGCAGGGAGCCTGCTTCTCCCTCTCTGCCTGCCTCTCTGCCTACTTATGCCTACTTGTGATTTCTCTCTCTGTCAAATAAATAAATAAATCTTTAAAAAAATAAATAAATAAAATAAAATTAGCAATTTTTGTTCATAAAAAAACCTAACAATAAAAGAATGAAAAGGCAGGCCACAGAATGGGACAAGATATTTGCTTCTCTGTATATTGCAACAAGGAACTTGATCCCAAAATATCTTTATCTATCTATATGTAAATCATCTCACAAAGAAAGAGAGATAGTAACCCAACACAAAAATAAGCAAACTACTTGAACAGGCACTTCACATAAAAGAGGATATCCCAAGTGGTTGATAAGTTTGTGAAGAGATGCTGAACATAAACAGTATTCAGGGAATAAATGCAAATTAAAACCACATTTTGCTAAACTCCCAAAGCTAGCAACTTTGTTAACATCTCTTGTTCTATTTACTTATGTTTAAATTGGGAATATTAATGTCTGTCCTCAGGAATTTATAGTCTGAGGAGGATTAAGTGAAATAACAGAAAACAGATAACTATGTAGTGAAATACAGTGAATTATGTACTGAAAATCCAGAGCTAGAGGGGCACCTGGGTGGCTCAGTCAGTTATGAGTCTGCTTTTGGCTCAGGTCATGATCCCAGCGTCCTGGGATGGAGTCCCATTTCAGGCTCCCTGCTCAGCAGGAGAGTCTGTTTCTCCCTCTTCCTCTCACTCTGCCCCTGCTCATGGGCTCTCTCTCTCACTCAAATAAATAAATAAAATCTTTTAAAAAAAGAAAAGAAAAAAGAAAAGCCTGAGCTGGAGACACAGTGACTATGTTCTTTACCAAAAAACAATAAAAATAGACTTAAAATGTTCTTGAGCCTGGGGCACCTGGGTGGCGCAGTGGCTTAGGCCTCTGCCTTCGGCTCAGGTCATGGTCTCAGGGTCCTGGGATCGAGCCCTGCATTGGGCTTTCTGCTCAGCGGAAAGCCTGCTTCCCCCTCTCTCTCTGCCTGCCTCTCTGCCTGCTTGTAATCTCTCTGTCAAATAAATAAATAAAATCTATTAAAAAAAATGTTCTTGAGCCTTCCACCTTATAAGTTTTATCTTGCTCTTTGTCAGCTTCTAATTCCAGGGTGCTTGCTGTTGCCAAATTAGCTCATTTTGAATCTCAGTGCATAAAGTGATACAGACCAGACACTTTATCTTGGCTTTATAAATCTGTCCCCATACTTTCACTGAACCCTTTTAAGAAGCCTAGCTCATCTACCAATCTAAATAGCCTCTCTCCTCCCCAAAAAGGTTACCATTTAGCTAAAAACACAATCTCATTTAATCCTTGTAACAGTCCCATCAAGTGAGTATTTTCTTACCCAAGAGATCATTCCCATTTTACAAGAAATTGGAGGCTTGGAGTGAATAATCCACTTATCTGAAGTTATAGAAATGTTCAGTGACAAAGCTGAGACTTAAGGACAAGTTTATCCTATTCCAAAATCTGCTTCTATCACTGTGCTCCACTGACCACCAACGGCACGAGCTGTTATTGTCTTTGAAGAGGTGGGTGCTCACGTCCCTCCTCATAGGCATGCTGTTGGTATCTTGACACTGCCATCTGTGTGTCTGTGTGTGGGGGGTCCTCAAGGTAGCACAGCCCCACACTCTTAGAGGAAAATCTCCTTAAAAAGAAATATGTTGGGGCATCTGAGTAGCTCAGTCTGTTAGGTGTCTGCCTTTGGCTGGGGTGTCTGGGTCCTGGGATCCACCCTCACATCCGGCTCCCTGCTCTGCAGGGAGTCTGCTTCTCCCTCTCCCTCTGCCTGCCACTCGCCCTGCTTGTGCTCTCTCTCACACACATGCTCTCTCTCTCTCCCAAATAAGTGGATAAAATCTTAAAAAAAAAAAGAAAGAAAGAAAAAGAAAAAGAAATATGTTGAGAAATGGAATGGTGTGTGTAGGATTTGGGATTCAACTTTCACTTGATCCCCCAATGGGTCTGACTTCAGGTAAGTAAGAGCTCCTCTTCTGAGTTTGCCTCCCACCCACACCCCTTCCCCAGAATCCTCACTTGGTGTCTCCTCATCTCTGACCAGCACCCCCTGGCCAGACCACAGTAATCCTAGACCTGGGACTAGCTGGGCCAGTCACTGATGATCTCACCCACAGTCTCAGACTCCAGGCTGCCTGGGGGGCTGTCCAGAAGGTGGGGCAAGTATTTGCTGAAAGGGGAAGAAAGGCAGGGCAGGAGGCTCCATTACCTTAGCAAGGCTCCTCTAGTCCCTACCTGGCAGAGCAGACATGGGCACCTTGTGTCCCAAACAGCCGATGCCTGCTGACAATGGCATGGAACTGCCCTTGACCTGATCTAGTAGTTTCAATGTTACCATCAGTTTGAGGAGGCAGAACGGCAATAGGAGCATTGGAACCAAGAATCCCTCTGAGTGCCACAATCCCAGCAGAACGCTCCCCGTGCACCAAGCCAATTCTAAACCCTTCACATGCATTAACTCATGTAATCCACACAGCAACTCCACGAGGTAGCTACTAGTATCTCCCATTTAACAGGTAAGGAAATACAAACAGTAACTTGTAGTTTGCTCAAGAACAACAGCTGGTAAATACTGATTATTCATCCGAAAATCAGGGATACAAATGCCCGCCCTAAACCTACATAACTCAAGGAGTTTTGTACACAGCTCCTATGCATTGGTGATAAAGACTATTTCTTAAGCTGAAACCATTACAGTTTTTTCCCTTCCACCTTTTGGGATAGAGGAAAGATTTTTTTTTTTTTCCAGTGGGACCCAGGTAATGTGGGTGCAGAAAGTTCCTGGAAAAATCCAAAAAGAAATTGGTAACCATGGCGGTGACTCGAGGCAGGGGAAACTGAGTGGCTGGGAAGCCGGATGGGAAATTTACTTTTCACTGTGTTTATCAAGATATTTAAATTAAATAAAACTTTTTTTTTTTTTTTTTTTTTTTTTTCAGGTCTGCTTAGTTCCAGGTGAATCTGGCTGGGGCTTCTGCTTCAAAGATGGCGCAAAGATAAGGCCAGGCCTGACGGCGCTCAGAGGTCGGGTAGCTCGCGCAGAATCACCAGCGAGCCACAGCGAGCCCAGGGTCCTTTCCCGACCACACCAGGGTGGGCATCTTCAAACGCGAAGGGAGGGAGGGAGTGCCCACCTGGACTTGGCGCGCGCGCGGACTCCGGAGGGTCGGGCCCCGCAGGGCGCCGGAGGCCCCGCCTGGGCGGCTGGAGGAAAAGGCCGGCCTCCCGCCCCGCCCCGCCAAATTTAAGAGCCCTCGCCCAGCGCTGGGGCGGTTACTGACCGACGAGTCTCTCTCATCGTGGGGTACTCCCCCTCGCCTCTCGCACTCCCCGCACCGCTGCCCACAGGCCCTGGCCCCGCTCCCTGGGCCCGTCCCGGCGGGGGCCGCGCCATGCCCAGCCCAGTGCCGCGAGGCCGCCGGCCGCCCACTCCCCCCGGCGCTCGGGACCAGTCCCCACTCTCTGGCGATCCCCCTGCGCCCCAGCGCCGCCCGGCCGGCCCAGGCACACCCCGCGGTCCCGGGCGCCTCGAGTCGTCCTTCTCCGTCGAGGCCATCCTGGCCAGGCCCGCCCGCCGCGCGCCCACCGCCTCCCCGCCGGCCGTTCCGCCCTGCGCCGCCGCGACGCTCGGCACCGCTCCCTCCCGGGTTCCCGCGACGTGGCTGCCCACCTACCTGGGCGTGGGTCTCCACCAGCTGTGCCCCCAACTGCCGGGGCCGGGGCTCCGCGTGCCTCACTTCTGCTGCCTGCAGGGCCTGGGCGTCACAGGTACGAGGTGCCCCGGCGCAGCGACCTGGGAACTGGGCGGGGCGGCTGGAGCGTAGCAGCCGCGGCCGCGGGCACAGGATAGAGAAGTCCCTGAGTTTGAGAACCGCGCACGGCCGGAGTGGGAAGGGGTCCTATGACCCTTGACCTTGCCGTGGAATCCGAGACCAGAGAGAGGGACTGGCCTCTAGACGGCCGCCGCGCACTCTAGCTGCTGAGCGGGCAGGAGGTGTGTGTGAGCGCGGGGGCGGAGGGGGAAGTGCGGGTGGGTCCCACGCGGCCTCGGAAGACCCGGCCAGGGCCACAGCGTCCCCCAAGAAAGGGTTTATAGAGTCTCTTGCCCCCTCCACACTCCCTGTGAGAAGGCTTGATAACGCCAGAGCAGCTCTCTTCCCAAAGGAACGGCCCTTTCTTAGCTGGGAGAAGCGGCTGCTGCGGTGGTGAGGTCCAGCGAGGAGCTGACCAATGCCCAGACCCCCGTGGCGCCCCCCCACAGCTCCGGTCTGTGGAGCTTAGGCTCCACACTTAAGTGCTCCACGCTCAAGTACATATGTGTAGAGCGCTCTTAGAAGGGGCACCTCCGGATGTGGGGCTGATGTCTTACATCCCATTGAGAATGTAAATGTTGACCTAAAGTTCTCCTCTAGCGTTAACAGCCACCTCCAGGAGCTTTCGCCGTTTTTGGCAATCTGATTCATGCTTCTCCACCTCCCCTTGAGCAAAGTTAGTGCAAGCCTTGTCAACCCGTGCCAAGATGGATGTAACCATCTGAGTTGGTGGCCACTCCCTGGGAGCTCTCCGTTCTGCATTTACACCCCACCCACTTTCTAGGCTCTCAAAACCCATCCAAATTCTGCAACGGCAGGGGAGTGACCTGCGCTCAGGGCTCCAAACCAATTTGCCCTAACTTCCTCAGGCAGCTGAGCTCTGAATTGCAGTTTACTGCTTTATATTACAGTGATCTCATTTTCAAGTTCGTTTTTGCATAGTTAGTTACTACATTGATACAGTTCAAACTTCAAAATGTTTACTAAGTTAGAGGGAGAAGAGTTTCCCTTAACATTCCTGTCCCCCAGTCACCTGGTTAACCCCACCCCACAAGCAGCCAATGATTCCAAGTCTCTTTATTCTTCCAGAGGTATTTTATGCATATTTTGTGTGTGTGTGTGTGTGTGTGTGTACACGTGTGTACATAGGCTCTTTAGGCTTAGAGCTGACTCACTGCTCAGGCCTCTGGGGTACCCCAGACTGGGCTCCAACAGAGGAACTCCAGGACACTGAGAGACCCCAAAAGAGGGTTCGGACTATGTTTAACTTGAAGCAGCTGGAAGAGTTGGAGAATGTGTTTACAAAGCAGCACAATCTTGTGGGGAAGAAGAGAGCTCAGCTGGCAGCCCAGCTCAACCTTACGGAGAACCAGGTAGGAGCAGGGACTCCTGCAAGCCCAGGGCTGTACCTGGGGGTGGGCACTGCTCTCCAGAAGGCCCTGGGTGAGGTTGTTGGGAAGACCTGGGCCTTCTTCCTCTCTGCCAGGCCACTGGGGGAGACAGGCCCTAATCATTGGTACACTCCCTACATGAATGAGGAAAATAGTCCCATAGGAAAACACATTATGGGAACAACACCCATTAATCTAGATATTAACCTAGAACTTTATGTTTCCACGTTAAAAAAGGGTGAAATTAAGTATGTTCAAGGAACTAAATATTTAAAATAAGAATAACCATTCACTTGACCTCCATATCCCCCTCCAGCTACTAACTACACCGTTTTTCTGCTTTTTTCACAGGCAGACTTGCCAAGAACTTGTGACAGTCTCTCTACATCCTCACTCCCCAACTATGTAACTCATTCCAATATGAATTTTCCCCTCCCATTCTATCAGAACTTCCCCTCAAGGTCTCTCCATGTTGTCAAATTCAGCAGCTGTTTTCCTTTCATCTTACTCTCCACTTAATACAATTGACTGCTCCTTCTCTTACTGACACACATACTTCTCTTGGCTTCTAGACACCGCATTCTTGGTTTTCCAGGTCTCTAGCCACTTTTCTGTCACCTCTGTAGGGTACTCTTCTCTTTGTGACCTCATATTTGCCCTCTGCCCCCCCCATCTCATTTAATCCCATGGTTTTAAATACCATCTATAAGCTAACAACTCCCAGTTGTGTATCTTCACCTATCTTCTTGTTTTCTCACTTGTACATCAACCTACCTTCTTGAGGTCTCCATTTAGATGTCTTCTAGGACAGGCATTGCAAATTTAAGTCTAAACCTCAATTCTTGACTTTCTTTCCAGATCTGTTCCTCTCCCTACTCATGGCCCCACCATCCATCCAGTTGCTCAAAATATCAAGTCCTCTTAGATTCCCCCTCTCCTGTTTCCAGTCCATCAACAAGCCTTGTCACCTGTACCTCCAAAATACAGCTGGGATCGCTTTACTTTTCTCCATTGCCCCTAGTTCATCCTGGTCCCAGCTCTTTTTGGATTATCACAGTAGCCTGCCAGCTGTGTCTCTGCCTCTCCTTTCATCCATTCTTCACAAAGCAGCCAGATATGCAATTCACCTGAGCAAACAGGACTATGTCACATCCCACTTAAAAGCCTCGAAGCTGGGGCACCTGAGTAGTTGGCTCAGTGGGTTAAGCCTCTGCCTTCAGCTCAGGTCATGATCTCAGGGTCCTGGGATCGAGCCCTGCATTGGGTTCTCTGCTCAGCAGGGAGCCTACTTGTGATCTCTCTCTGTGTCCAATGAATAAAAATAAAATCTTAAAAAAAAAAAGCCTTAAAGCTGATATTCCTTACCCACAGCCTCCGTGGTATTAGGTGATCTGGCCCCTGCTGACTCCTCCCACTTGTCTCGCTCTCCACTTCCCCATCTCTCACTCCCAGATCTTTCAGCCATGCTCTCCTCCTTTCCGGTCCTCAAACACCCCAAGCTTTCCTACAGGTTGTCTCCTGATCCAGCCTGCTTTTCTCTGTCCTCATTAAACTGGCCTCTTATCCTTTGAGCCTCAGCCTAAGTGCTGGTTCCTCAGGGAGGTTCAAACCCCCATTTGTGTTTGTTTTTGTTTCCATGTTTGTTGTTTGTCTCTCTGGACTGTGAGTTGCATGAGGTCAGGGACCATACATCTATTGCTCACCACGTATCACCATCACCTAGGATGGTGCCTAGCACATAATAGGAGCTCAATAAATATTTGTTGGATAAACAAATGGTGCCTAAAATTACAGGGAAGGGTGTTTTGAAGGAAATGCTCCCGTTAGAAGGAAGAGCGAATGTGGGCCCAGAAAGCAGTGGGCACCATGGAATGTGGGAAACCATGGAAACTGCTGGTCACATTCTAATCTTTGACCATTGCCTCTGATTATAGGTGAGGGTCTGGTTCCAAAACCGCAGGGTCAAGTATCAGAAGCAGCAAAGGCTGAAGCTGCCCGTTGTGCCTTCCATGGCTGCCTCCCAAGACGAACCCTCCAGCAGCTCTGACAACAGCAACCAGAGAGAAGACCCTGAGTCAGGAATGGACAGCTGAGGACTGGGACAGAAGCTCAACCTGGGCTGTCTGGGCTAGTTTTTCTTGGGGGCACTCACTGGAACTACTGAGCCTTTTTTCTTCATCTGTACAATGGGTACATTGACAACTTCATCCTCCCAGCACTGACAGGATGTCTGTAAAGTTGTTACAGGGTGCCAGGCCCAAGCAAGTGTTGGGGGCAATGTGTGGTGTTTACACCAGCACTGACCTCTCCACAGACTAATCTTTTCCCGGTCTGGCTGTGGAGAAGGGACCTCCTTGAATCAGTGTCTGGGCCTTAGAAGTCTCTTCCCCACCAGAGATAGTGGAGTTGAGAGCAAAGGTGAGGGAAAGGTAAACCATTTAGCCTACTTCCCTTCGAAGAGTTTCCCAAAGTTTTCTTGTTTTTGTCTGAACTGTCACCATTTTCAGGAGCTCAGCCCCAGCTCCCTGCTTAGGACCAGACATGCTACCCTGACCACCATCTTTTTCCCTCTAGCTACCCATCTTGCCCCCTCTCCATCATTACATAAAATAGAGCAATTTGGCTCTGCCTTTGCCAAGGCAGGCATTTTGTCACAAACTCTGCTGTATTTCCCTGAGATGGTTATAATTTCTCCCCTTTCAAGACCCTAACTCGTGGTTCCATTTCCTTCCCAGGAAGCTGCTCAGTTTCTAAGAAGCATGCTGATAGCCTGTTCTTGTTAGCCCAGTCACCAGCACAGAACGGATTTCTTTAGTGCTCTGCATTCCTGAGCAGAGGGTGTTGATAGAAAATCTAGAATGGCCTCTGGGTACTGAGGTGAGCTGTGAAAGAGGCGTGCCCTGCCACCTAGTGGTGGGAGAAGGCATGGTCCCCACTGCTGTCTGCGGGAGAGAAGACAGGGAGAAGAGGTTGTCTTGGAAAAACCACATGCCTCCAACTGGTGGTAGACCATCCTCTCCTAGACACCAGGCCACAGACTTGAGGGAGGCCAGGGTCCAGCTTCAAGAGCCCTTCTACCTGTCTTCAGGGAAATCCTTCCTAATGCCGGATCCAAAGTCCACTCTGTTAATCAAAGGGATCCAGCTGCATCTGTCTCTTCCAGCACCAGCTTCTTCAGTTGACTCATTTTAAAAATAAAATTAAAAAATAGGGCGCCTGGGTGGCTCAGTGGTTAAGCGTCTGCCTTAGGCTCAGGTCATGATCCCAGAGTCTGGAATCGAGCCCCACATCAGGCTCCCTGCTCATCGGGAAACCTGCTCCTCCCTCTCCCACTTCCCTTGCTCGTGTCTCTCCCGCTGTGTCTCTCTCTGTCAAATGAATAAAATCTTAAAAAATATAGATTATTAAAAAAATAAAGAGTTAACCTATTCAGCAATTACTGGGCTCTACCCAATCCCTGATGTCACCATGATACCATAACAGATGCAAACAATGTCCTTTTTCAAGGAGCACAGCATCCACTGGAGGACAAGGAAACAGTGGTCAGCCTTGGCTGTGGGAACAGATGCTATAAGTCCATTCCTTCAGGCTTTTGGGGTCCTGAATGAAAGAACAGGCCCCTCTCCTGTTTCCAAGACAATGTGCATATGCACACTCCTGCATACAATTTCAGGGGTCTTCAGACCTGAGGTGCACCGTGTACCACCTTCCACCACCCCTAGGCTGCAAGGTGCCTATGCCCCTGAATGGGCTGAGAGAAGCACAAGTCCAGCTTGAAGGCCCAAAGAAAGGGGAATTCTTGCACCCGAGCGAGTAGGATGGACATGTGCAGTAAGCTAGTCCCTCCTTTCAGGTAGATCAGAGAGGGTAGAGGTCGGCTGACTGCTGCCCACCCCGCTCCCGGCTGGGTCTAAAGAGCGCTTGACTCAAAACGGGCCAATGGGTGGAGAGAGACAACAGGGCACATAAACACGAACTGCACACAAATACCTCAAAACTATACACACACCCATAGGCTAGGATACACAGGTATGTACGAAGACACAGACGAAAAACCGCACAGATGTAAAACACAAAGGCAGACCCAGCTACAACCAGCCACCGAACCAAACGACCTAAACACGTTGATTAAAGGGATCTAAATTCGTACTCGCTAAAGCGCAGACCCGAGGTCCTCCGACACACACACCGGGGGCGGGGCCGGAGGGGGGCGGGGCCTCCCAGGTCGAGGCGAGGTCAAGGGTCATAAGGAGGAGGCGCGCCCAAGATGGCGGCCTCCATGTGCGACGTGTTCTCTTTCTGCGTGGGCGTGGCGGGTAGGGCCCGGGTCGCCGTGGAAGTCCGCTTCGTAAGCAGCGCTAAGGTGAGGCCAAGGCGGACCCTCCGAGAGCCCCCTACCCTGTCCGACCTTGGAGACAGCCCCACGGGAATCCCAGGCCCGGAGCAGAAGCTCCTCTGCCGCTCGGACTCTGCGGCTCGGTCCCTACTCGCGGCCCGGGGGTTCCCTGTCTGTCCCCGCGCGCAGGCTTCCGGGGAGGTCACGCGGTGGACCCGGGGCTCCGAAGTCTCCGTGCGCGCGCGCCCCCTTCCCGCGGGACCCGGTGCGCCAGCCCGGGGCTCTGCTCCTGTAGTTCCGGGCGGGGCCGAGGCGGGTGGTGCCGGGCTTTTCCGGCCAGGATAGGGGGGCACTTTGCTGCTGAGCACCAGGTACGGTGGGCGGGGATATGCTGAGCAGAGGGAACTTAGGTATAAAAAACCGTGGGTCCTAAAACCGTGGGTCCTCAGGGAAGTTTCTGAGTGAGATTTGGAAATGGGTGTGGAGGGAGGCCAGGACCCTTCACGAAAGGCCTTGGAATGCTAAGGAATTTGGAAACTGAGCTCTAAACCCGTGGCCCGTTTGAAGCGTTTTGGCAGAGAAATGCCATGATTTTGTTATGTTATTGTGTTTCAAAAGTTACTTGTAGAAAAATGAGAAAAATGCATATGAGGAAAGAGAAGGCAAAAATCACTCATAATCCTATGCTTGTGCAAATATGTGGATATTAAAATTACAATTTTTGCAATCGCTTTTTGATGCAGTAGTAAATCAACATCAATAAACCTGTTTCTAAATAGGTCAACCAACTACTTATTTATGGACTTTTATATTTTATTTTATATTTCATCTTGAGGTCCGAAGTCTTCGAGCTCAATTTTTGTGCACACATCCTTTTGTTCTCCCTAGCAGAGTATTTTCTTTCCGAATTAACTTTGCCATATGATATGTGCAAAATGGTATGGCTTTGTTTTCATTTACATTTCTTTGTTTACTGAGGAGGTTGAATAATTTATCATGTGTAATGGCTGTGTGTATCCCCAGTCCCTGCCCAAGATGTCAGCCTTCTCTAGTCATCTACCTTCTGCTCTTCAGAGCCCAACCTTCCATTGACTTCTTCCCACTTCAGATGCATCTGGAGCGTTCCTCTCCTTCCGTGATAAAGCAGCTCCCCTATATTCTTGACCTCCTCAGCCGCTCACATCTCTGTCTGCACACAGGCCTCTGGTGTTCTTGATCAGCTCATAGTTTGATGGTGTCCAGGTTCCATCACTCCTAGCACACGGAGATAGTCACCTTCGCCTTCACTGCACCACCTATTTCTCATCCCCTCCTCTCTTCCGATCTTCCTCTCACATCATCACATCAGCAGCTCTACTTGCTCTACAGTTGTCCTGTCCTAGCCTTCTATCAAACCCTACCTCTGGAAGAATGAGCTGGCCAGCCTCTCCATGCCCACGTCTGATCTGCAGCTGGAGAAAATCACATACCCACTTAGACATGGTGACAAGATAGATTACCCCAGGCTTTTTGCATCTGTACTCATCAAGTGAGATTGCTTGTGAGGTTTTTTTCTTTGTGCTCTCTTCCTCCGGTTACTGATCAGAGTTATGCTTGTTTTTTGGTAAAATGGAGATGCTTTCCATTTTTTCTCTGTTACTTAGTAGTTTAAATAACATGAGAATTACTTATCCTTTGGCTTGAGAGAGGTGGCTCATGAACCATATGGACTAGGGGCCTCACATGGGGGTTGTTTTTTACTATTTTCTCTGTTGCTTCTCTGGATATTGGCAGGAGCAAGCTTTCAAAAATTTAGCAGCTACTCTGCCAGGGACAGGACCAATCAGAACATGATAGTGTCTGACCAAAGAGGATGGATGCCAACCAGAATGCCGTACAGGTACAGGTCAGCCAGATATCGGGTACTGCTTCTTTGTCTAGGCTTTCTTCCTTTTGTTTTTGTTTGTTTGTTTGTTTGTTTGTTTTTTAAGATTTTATTTATTTGTCAGAGAAAGAGAGAGCACAAGCAGGGGGAGCGTGAGGCAGAGGTAACATTAGGCAGAGGGGGGAGCAGGCTGCCCCCCGCAAGCAAGGAGCTCCACATGGGACCCTGGGATCATGACCCGAGCCAAAGGCAGATACCCAGCCAACTGAGCCACCCAGGTGTCCCTAGTCTTTCTTCCTTTTGAATTTGGTTTTGGTAATTTCTATGTTCCTAGAAAATTACCCATGCAGTAAAGCTTTTAAAATTTACAGTCTTTTTCCTAAAACTTAACTTTTCAAATTGGAGCCATCTTTGCAAGTTTCTGGCCCTCTCATCAGGTTCACTTCTCTCCAAGCCTCTTGGTGATATTAATGAAAGCTGCTTTTCTTAAAACACTGTTTTATGTTTGGAGGATGAGTGGTTTCATAAAGAAACCAGTTCTGATTCTGTTCCCATTGTTTTGATTACTAAATCCTTTCTGCATTTGGGCCTTCAGAAAGAGAGAGAAAGACATTGTTATTTACCCAGTGTTGAGATTTGAGATTGTCAACTTTCTGCATTTGGGCCTTCAGAAAGAGAGAGAAAGACATCGTTATTTACCCAGTGTTGAGATTTGAGATTGTCAACGATAATGTGGGTCTGTGTTCATCTCCCTTTGTCCCATAGAGGAAGACCATCTTTTCATTTTGCTAGATTGGGTCCGGCCCTGAAAGGCTTGAAGGTGGGGTTCCAAGAAGACAACCAAGGATGCATCAACGGCTTTAGCCAGAGGTTTCATGCTAGCTGTCCCACTCTGCTGCTAGAGCTACCCAAGTTGTTCAGGGTTGTGATCTGTAGCTCATGGGTTGTTCAGGGTTATCCTGGTCTACACATCCCTGCTTCTCTGAGTTTGGGAGGTGCTGCTTTCTAGCCACAGTGCCAGTGCTAGAAGGAAGTGGGGAGCTACCTGAGAGGCCACATGACGGGACGATTTACTGCTGTATCAGTCAGTCAGTTCCTGCCTTCCTCTTCCTTCCCTCCTTCCCTCCTTCCCTTCTCTCTCTCTCTCTCCCCCTTTCTTTCTCTCTTCCTTTCTCTTTTGGTGACAGTTCAGTGCAGGTCAGGGAGGCACCCTTCTTCTCTAAGTGAACGGTGGGAGTAAGTGCCCCACAGGGCCAGTAACTGCCTGGGTCCCAAAGCCGTCTTCTGTGTCCCTCTGCACCTCCTTCATGTCTTACGTGATGTGCACAGTGCTTTAGACAGAGCTCTTCAGACTTCAACGTGCACGCTAATCACCTGGGCATCTTGTTAAAATGCATATTCTCCTTCAGCAAGTCTGTTGGAGGGGGTTGAGACTCTGCATTTCTAACAGTCTCCCAGATGACGCCCGTGCTGCCCGTCTGTCACGTCACTCTGAGTAGTAAGGAGCTAAAGCTCATAAGGTACATTCACCTGGGCTGAGGTGTGTCATGGAAACTACCTGGTAGGTAGTACGATAATACTTTTCATATACAAAACAGATGCAAAGAAATGAAGCGGTTGGCTCCAAGGTCACAGCAGGTGGTATTAGGGCTCGGAATCATCATTCCTTTCAGTATAACACTGAGAACTGGTTGGGTCCTGTGAGTGCCCCATGGACCAGAGAAATGCAGCACATTCTCCCCCAACCTAGGGCTCCCTCTTCTGCAGGAGTCCTCTGCAGCTCTGAGCAGGAGCATCACTGCCAGGGTCCTGGAGGGCCACATGGGTGACACCAAGAAGATTGTTCTGTCATTACCAGCTCCTGGTACAGGAGCCTCGGTGCGCTTCCGGCCATTCCAAAAATTCTCCTCCTCTGGCTGACATGGTGGCTCCCTCTCCATGCTAGTCCTTCTGCTCTGACCAGGCTGAAAGAAGTGGGCCTGAAAGTAGGTCAGAGCTGCATTTCCAGAGGAGGTAGTTATGGAGGGTGCTGACCATGCTCCATGAACGCTCCCAAGGCAGAGAGGCCTCTCCTGAGAGGGGGGTGTGTGGGAGGTGATGCTGGCCAGCCCTCCGGGAACCCTTGGAGCTAGGTCTTCTCTCTCCCTGTGATCATCCTATTCCTTCTCTCCCTGGTAGGGTAAGGGGCTGTTTGCCACACAACTGATCCGGAAGGGGGAGACCATCTTTGTAGAACGGCCTCTGGTGGCCGCACAGTTTCTCTGGAATGCACTTTATCGCTACCGAGGTGAGCACATCTCATCCACTCCTCGTGGCTGCTGGGCCCAGCTGCCATTGTGCATGGAAGACAGCTACATTAGCTGATGTCTCTGGGACTTCAGGCGTCGGGAAAGAAGTTCATCTTCCCTTGGAGAGCCATGCCTGAGAAGCATGCTTCTCTCTAGCTTCAGGGCATTTGGGACTTGGGGTGAGCCGTAGAGGGGCTCCTCCAGCCTGCTCCCTGTTGGGGGTGGGGAGGACTGTTGCTTAGGTGGAACTCAGTCTGAGCCAGAGTATAAGGGCCTGAGTGTCATGCTGAAGGTCTCTGTGCTGACATGCCGCCCTGCACCAAGAGGAGGCCACAGGCCCTTTGATCAAAACAGGTGGAGTTAGGCATCAGAAGCAGGTAGGATGCCCTTAGCTTTTCCAGCCACCTGCTTTCTTTACACTTTTCTTAGGCTAGAGACAAACATGAAAGGAGGGACAGCTAGCTGCCGAATGTGGGGAAAGCACAGTCTGGGGGATAGGAGGGAAGCTCCACAGCTTAAGTCACATTGGGAAGGGCAGAGTGCCTGACAGGAGGGGTGGGACTCCAGAGAGGGAAGAAAACCAGTCTGCCCTGGAATGCATGTGAAAGCATTCACTCATTCTGTTCTTTAACACAGTCATTCATTCACTTACTTCCCAAATGTTTGTTGAGCACGTGCTGCACGCCAGCCACCATTGTTAGCCCTCGGGATACTGCTGTGAATGAGACAGAACATGGCCCCTGGTCTAAAGACTCTCACGTTGTCCTGTGTGGCTCTCTTCCTCAGCCTGTGACCACTGCCTTCGGGCACTGGAGAAGGCAGAGGAGAATGCTCAGAGGCTGACTGGGAAGCCAGGCCAGGTTCTGCCTCACCCTGAGCTGTGTGCTGTGCGCAAGGACCTCCACCAGAACTGTCCGCACTGTCAGGTAAGCAGCCCCCGGGATTGCACCTGGAAGGTGGGTGGAGGAGAGGCCTTAGCTGCAGTCCTCTGCGAGGAGACAGGAATGACAACAGACCTGCTCAGGGCCCCAGCGAGCCATGATGGAGGGGAAGAGCATCTGAAGGCTCCATTCCTGTTCCAGTTTTGTCCTCCCTGTCCCAGTCCCACCGTCTAGAAAATAGGTCTGCTGGAAACTTGCCCTCTTCCCAGCAGCCTAGCAGGGGCTCTTCCCTCTGTCTGAAAGCTCCCTCCTTCCCATTGTTTTATAAGCCTGGGTGCCCCTCTCACATGCCCCGGGTCTCCGTGTGCTTTCGGCCCTCGTGATGCCACTGAGCTGCTGATCAGGCTGCTCCGAGAAGTTAGCGGAGGCGAGTAGCATGGAGGGCCGTCTGCGCCTCACCCCGTGGCCAGATCCTGGAGTGCTGACGTCGCCCCACTCTACCAGGTGATGTACTGCAGTGCAGAATGTCGGCTGGCGGCTGCTGAGCAGTACCATCAGGTCCTGTGCCCAGGGCCCTCCCAGGATGACCCCCTGCACCCTCTCAATAAGCTGCAGGAGGCCTGGAGGTAGGTAGCACTTCATCTCTTCTCCCCTTTATCTTCCCTCTCTGCCTGTCTGCCTGAGATGAGCAGATGTAGTCATCTTTCTTAAACGTACCATCCCCCAGGTTTTTCCTCCATCTCAGGGTTAAACTGAGGTCACATCACCTTCCATGTGAGCCACCAGTCCCACTGTCCTCAGCATTTTACACACTCCCAGGAAGAGCCCCATGGTGCCCATAGAGATGTGAAGTCCTGCCCACGTCCTTGCCAGTGACTTCCTCGCTTTGGTTATAAATGGAGTCGGCAGGAAGGATTCTCTGTGGCAGTCAGCCTGGACTTCCTGCACGCAGCTACCGCGGAGGGAATTTCAGGCCATATCCTTTTCTTTCTCCCCAGGAGTGTTCACTACCCCCCTGAGACGGCAAGCATCATGTTGATGGCCCGGATGGTGGCCACGGTGAAGCAGGTGAGCCCACCCAGCTCTCCCAGGGCAGCCGGTTCTGACCTCGTTTGCCTCTTGGCCTCAGTCACCACCCCCGCAACCTCGAGACCCTGCCTTGGATGCAGAGCTCCGCCTGGGCTGTGGAAACATCAGGAGCAGCTACCCACAGTTTTGGCAAGAGACTCTGATCTGGGAGAGGGCGTCCTGTGCGGCAGCAGGTCACACACTCAGCTTCCAGGCGCCACTTTCTCAAGATCATGCCTCACGTGTCAAGTGAGAGGAGCCACTCCAACCCCTTCTATTAACACTGAAGCTTCTCAGCCTCATCATCCTGTTTCTCCGAGTGGTGTTGAACCGGCTAGCCTGGCCCAGCTGGGGAGATGGTTGGGTGCGGGTGTGGCAGGGAGGAAGTCCCCAGGCCGAGAAGGGTCTACACAGAACCTCTTGTGTGCTGGTGTTTCCCTAACGGCAGGGGCCTAGAGTCACAGGCTACCCTCCTGCCTGGGCACAAGCAGCAGCAAGGAGGCAGGCGTCCCGGAGTCCACACGTCCACATGCATGCACGCACGGGCATAGTGAATGTGACTCTGAAGTATATTTGTTCACTGCAGGCCAAGGATAAAGATCGTTGGATAAGGCTCTTCTCCCAGTTCTGTAATAAAACAGCCAATGAGGAGGAGGAAATTGTCCACAAACTCCTGGGGGACAAATTCAAGGTCAGTCTTCTCCTGAGATCCCCCCATCCCCAACAGCCTTGGATGGTTCTGTGGCTGTCTGATAGGAGCTCCACATTTGGTCCCTTCCCAGCCCCAGGAAGAGGTTAGAGCCTGGGGCCAAAAATCTATTTAGAGGGCCTATATTCCTGCTACTATTTAACCTTGTGACCTAACATGGACCAAGAGTTGAGAAGTGGGGTGATGACAGAGGAAAGAGGGGTTGGGTGCCCTGACAAAGTAAGGCAGAATCTCATGATAGGATAGCAGTGGGCAAGTCAGTTATAATGGAAAACAGAGGGTTGGGGGTCCACAGAGTGAGGGAGCAGCGTGAAGCAGGAGGATTTTAGCTGCCGATGTGCTGAGTACCTATTCCCACCCAAAGATTACACATTCTCACCGAGGATAGCCAACTTCCATGCAGGAGCTCCCTATAGGTACAGGCAGGGCTTAAAGGGAGCTGGGGGGGCCTCCATTCATTCTGAGGAGAGGAGATAGGGAGTCAGGCTGGTCCAGAGACTAGGTCAGGGAGCCTGGTAGATGACAGTGAGGACAGACCTTCCAAGCCACGTTGCCTCAGCCCTCCTGGTACAATCGCTGTAGGATAGGGAGGAATTTGGGGTTCGCCCCCCTGAGTTGGAACAATCCACCAGATTGCCAAAGTTCTTTACAAATAAAGACTCTATGGGCTTCCTTTGCCTTTAGGGAAAGCTCTTCCACGAGCTGGTCCTTTTTTCTTTCCCTCTCCTGGTCTTCTGGGGCCTGTCTGGGTGCTCATGGCAAATCCCCAGGGATGCACATCTCTCCCTGCTTCCCCCAAACCAGGGCCAGCTGGAACTTCTACGGAGACTCTTCACAGAGGCCCTCTATGAGGAGGCGCTCAGCCAGGTGAGCGGGGGCAGCGGGGGGGACCAATGGTCCTTTACTCGTTCTAGCTCTCCAGGAACAACCCGGTCAGCACCTCCTACTCAGAGAGCTAAGCCAGAGCTGACCTGGTATGAAGTTGTGATGGGACTGACTCACAGAAGACTTCCTGAACAGAGAGTTGTGTCAGGAAGAAAAGCGAGTGGCTGTAACCTGAGCATTCATTTTTCTTCTCCCCACAGTGGTTTACTCCAGATGGATTCCGGTCTCTCTTTGCTCTTGTTGGGACCAATGGCCAAGGAATTGGGACCAGGTTAGGAGAGAACATTCCAAAGCTATTGAACTTGTCCCTTAGGGCTGGAAGGTAGCACACCTCCTTTCAGGATTAGGATGGGGTAAGGTATGATTCTGTGGCCGGAGAGCGGGACTGGAGACAGTGGTGGGAGTCAGAAGACTGAGGTGTTAGAATTTGCTCTTGGGAGCCTTGGTCTTTCGGGGAAGATGGGCCCCTGCCCTGGAGAAGGAAGTGGACTTAACTCACGTAGAGGTGGAGAGCCCTGTGAGCTGGGCCTGCTCCTCTCCAACCGTGGATGCCTGGGACCCCCAGCTCCCTGAGCCAGTGGGTCCATGCCTGTGATGCTCTGGAGCTGAAGCCTCAGGACCGAGAGCAGCTGGACGCCTTCATTGACCAGCTGTACAAGGACATCGAGGCAGGTTGGTGAGATGGAGCCTTGGTCTCACCCAACCTCAGATGCCCCTCAGTCAGACACACAGCCTTCCCCTAAGGGAGTTCTGACCGGATGGTTGGGGAAGATAACCCCTGTGTGCCTATGGGGATCTTCAGATCCATCCGTAGGACACGTAGATAAGCCATGACTCTCAGATCTGTACAGAGGCTCGATGCTGGGGGTGGGGGGTGCTGGACAAGTAAGGTGATACCGTTTACAGAAAAGCTCATGCTTCCAAGAAGCAAGTTCAGATGAATTGGTAGTGGCCAGGTGGTAAGACAGTGGAGCCAGTGCCTGTCCTCACAAGCCTAGTTTCTTTTCCCCCCAGTAAAATGGGTAGAATAACATCTGCATATTACTGTCTTACAGCCACTGGCGAGTTTCTTAACTGTGAAGGATCTGGCCTCTTTGTGCTTCAGAGCTGCTGTGAGTCCCGGCATTGAGGAGGGGTGGCCCCGGTAGGCTGGTGGAGAGGAGTCTGAGAGCAGGATTAGGTCTGAGTTTCCTTGGGGATTCTCCTGGGCCTTTTCGTTCCATCATTTTCTCATTCATTCATACGCTGGACTCAATATATGTGTATATATAAAACCTTCCAGTGGGCCAGGCCCTGTGCTAAGGCAGGACGCAAGAGTTCTGATTCTTGCAAATGGAAGACTCGGTTTCCCACCGCCACTGCCCTGCCAGGTTTGGGGGGGTGGGAGGGAGTGTTGTGAGAGCCTGGGAGGTCCTCAGGCTCCTGGGAGGGAGCTCAGGCTGGAAGCCGAGGCTCAATAGCCCCTGACAGAGAGGGGCAAAGCCAGCTCACACAATTGTCTTTTCCAGATCTCAGCCTCTCCCCCTGGGTTTCCTCACTGTGAGCCCCCCCTCCCAGGCCCTGGGGCCACTCTGCCCCCCAGACTAGGCTTGCAGAGGCCCTGGCTCAGCTGTTCCCAGATGCCCAGTAGCAGACAGGACTGAGTTAAGTGGTCCGGCCTGGGCAGGTGTTCCTTTCACAGCCCTGTCCCTCCCTCTGCAGGATACTGGAAACAACTGAGAATCAAGCTGCCAGTGCTGAGGACAGCAGGGGCAGCGATGGCAGGTGGGAGGGGGTGTGAAGTGGGAGTGCATTTGTGCCTGTGCTCTGGGGTCTTCAGGAAAGAGCACTGGACAGGGAGTTAGGAAACTTGGGTGCCAAGACCTGCGCAGCTGTAGCAGTGATGAGAGAACAAGGAAGGTTGGGAGCTCTGCCAGGCTGTTATTTTTGTTAGTCAGCAATCCTTATGACTTGCCTCTCATGACCCAGGTAACCACAGCTGTGTCCCCAATGCAGAGACCTCCTTCCCAGAAAACAACTTCCTTTTGCATGTTACTGCCTTGGAGGATATCAAGCCAGGAGAGGTGAGGGGGCTGGGAGCTGTGGGGCGGGGAGGCGTGGGCCTTGCAAGTTTCCCCTTAGTACTAGGAGCAACAGTGGCTAGAGCCCCAAGTTCAGGCTGTTTGGCCGCAGGGCGGAAGTCTTTTTACCCATGATTATGCTCTAACCCCATCCTACCCCCCAGTTCTTCAAAAAATAACCAGAAAGCCTCAGAGCAGTGACTGAGACATAACTAGTGCCCAGCTTCTTCCTAGCCACCTTTTGATCAACAAATGCACAGCTTCTAAGAAAGCCAGAGATGACTCTTCGTGGCTGGGGCTGTGGGGTTATGTGTGCGCTTGGGGGCTGTTAGTACAGTGCATGGAGCCTGGCTGAGTCTTCTTCCAGAGCAGGTGGCACTGTGTCAAGATAATTTCTGACCCCAGCCACAGACCATGGCCACTGAGTGCCCATAGCCGTGGCCTGAGGCCAACCACAGTCCCCTCTCCGTCTCAGACACAAGTTGGCTGAGCCTTTTGCCAGTCTGCTAAGGGCACAGGAAAATGGAGGCAGACCTCGATCCAGGGAGGTGGGCCAGTGGTTGGGGAGGCCCCAAGCCCATCTAAGAGAGAGCACAGCCGTCCAACCCCTCCTCTTCTCTGCCCTCCAGGAAATCTGTATCAGCTACTTAGACTGCTGTCAGCGGGAGCGCAGCCGCCACAGCCGCCACAAGATCCTCAGGTGCCAGCCGGGGATGTGGTGGGTGGCCGGGCTCCGGGAGGCTCTGGCCTGGTGGCCGCCCGACTGCACCCTCACCACCCTCCCCCCATCCCCTGCAGAGAGAACTATCTGTTTGTCTGTTCCTGCCCCAAATGCCTGGCAGAGGCTGATGAACCCAATGTGACCTCAGAGGAGGAGGAAGAGGAAGAGGAGGAGGAAGGAGAGCCAGAAGATGCGGAGCTAGGCGATGAGATGACTGATGTGTGACATCACCCTGCCTGGAAGGGGCCCTGCCCCAGACCCTGCAGGAAAAGGGGGCCTCCCCCCAGAGGGGAGACTTGGAAGGAGCTCCCCACTCTCCTTGCCTGCTATCTTCCCGCCCCACCCCCCGCCCGTTCCAGCTCTGTTTCTGCCAGAGGGTAGGACAGAGGCCGGACCCTAGGCCCTAGGCACTCACCTCCCACCAGACCTTATGCCCTGGACACTGCTGCTGAGGGGCTCAGGCTCTGCGCTGTCATTGAGCCTCTCAGAACTGCCCCCACACAACACACAAACACACACATGCACACACTCTCCAGGTGTAGCAGCTGCAGCCAAGGTCAGGCCCTAACAGTGTCTCTTGCCCCGGTCCCGCTTACCTGTCCACCTGAGGCTTCACCCCTTTCAACCTGCTACAGAGGGGGTAACAAAGTGGCCATCTGAGGACGGCCTGACTGCTCTGAAATGACAGGAGAGGGGTTGAGCTGCCTCCACCTTCTTCCCCACCTCCCACTGTTACAGCTGCTAAGGCAACTGCCTCCTGCTAGCACTGCTGGGAGAGGCAGGAAGGAGCAGCCTGGCCTCCAGGCCTCCAGAGCATCTCCCCTGAGGCTTTGTGCCCTGGACACGGGACCAAGGGGATACTTCCTTCTGCCCACCTCCTCATGTCCTTATTTGGACTTCTGGGGGAGTGGAGATTAACCCCTTCCCCAGACTCCGGAATCTCTGTACCTTGTGCCTTGCTTCTCAGGCCCTGGCACAGTGGCTGGCCACATGGGGTATGCAAGAGGCCTCTGCCTCCCTCAGGAGGGGCATGTGGGGGATCATCACCCCTTCCTCACACTCTTTCCCACCGAGGACTCCAGCAGCTTGGTTGACACTGGGGCATGACAGGCCTGCGCTCCTTAATTTTGGATGCCCAAAAGGCTTCCCTGGGACCAGTTTAACATGGGTCAGTGAGGGGCTCTCCTGGCCTCCATCTCCATCTTTGGGGTCCCCAGAGAGGAACAATGAAGTCTTCCAGAAACCTAGAGGAGCTAGGCTAGATATTCTGACTTAAGCCCTGCCTGTGTCACCCTCCCACTTCCCCCCAGTTAGCACCACCCCTCACTCTTGGGTTGGATGCTATGAGAATTATAGCCCATCACTTCCAGTTTCTTTGCCTGCCTACCTTCCTGGCGGGCCTGCCACCACCCCTGCTGAGGGATCTGAGAGGGCAGGTGCCCACCCCATAGGCTGTCCTAGATCATGAGTCAGGTGGTGCCCCACCTGTGTGGCCTCTTGGGCTCTTACTCCTTCACAGCAGCCAGCACCCCCTCCCGCCCCCGCCTGCCCACTGTTCCCAATAAAGTGTGAGTGGTGACAGGCCTCTGCAGGAATGCTTTGTGGAGAATGACTTGACAAGCAGCCTGGGGCCCACAGCAGTCACTGAGGTGGTGCAGAGGCACACAGTGTAGACCAGGTGATGGCAGAGAGGGGAGCCGCAGCCCCTCAGTTTGGGCTCCTCTCTGTACTCTCCACCCACGCTCTGCTGTGCACGTTTCCAAATGCCAATAGCCCAGGTCTTCTGTGGTCTAGTGTGGATCCCCAGGACCAGATCCACAGGAGTCTTCTCAGGGGACTGACCTATGGCTTCCTGAGTTCTTGAGCAGGAAGCAGGCTGTATCAGGATCCAAGGTTAGTGGTAGCCTAAGCACAGGTCCTGAAGGACCTTGGTTAAGTCATTTACCCTCTGGGGGGCCTCAGTTTCCTACCCCTCAAAATAAGGGCATGGGACCAGATGAGTAGGAAGGCCCCTCCCGCCCATGTGCTCTTATTCTAGGACACAGTTGCAACCCTGATGAGAGGCTTTATTGCTAAAAAGTCAGTGAGGGTTTATTAATTCCTCAAACAGCAGCTCCTAGAACTACTCCAGCAAGTGCTGTGAAGCACACTGAGGAGACCCTGGCAAGGGAAGGCTGGAGCCAGGTGGGATGTGACAGGTCACAGGTGGCTCTTGGGCCACTTGGCTTTAGCCCCTTTTGTTCCAGATTCTAGCCAAGAAGCTCTGGGGCCTGACTCTTGCCTCTTCCCATAGCATGAGATGTTTGGGGGCCCTGAGGAAGGGAAGGCCACTGGCGTGGCTTTTAGCATAGCCAAGGCCCAAGCCTTTTTCCTCTACCCAACTCCACCTGTCCCCAAATCCCAAAGAGCAGAATTCCTGGATTTTCCTTTCCAAGCCCAGAGTTGTTTTAAGGCTGGTATGTGGGACCAACTCTTCTACCAGAAGGTCCAGGGTGGTTGCAGCAGCTCAAAGGTGGGGATGCTGGTAACATTGACTGGGATGGAAATGATGGCCCATGGCAGCCCATGCTGTTCCAGGGAGCGGCGGATCATGTAGCTGGGAGGGCATGAAGAGAGGTGGTGATGGTCACTTTCTCAGCACCCCATCATGCCCCACTGTCCCCATCACTCTGGGAGTTCTAGAGCCCAAGGACTTGGCCCTCCAACTGAAGCTTGCGGGAAAGGACTGGTGATTGCCCTTGACCTCCCCAAGTCATGGCACCCAGCCTGGTGCTGACACAGCCAGAGATAAAGAGCCCTCACCCATCTCGGCCGAGCAGGAAGAGAGCAGGGATGTCAGCTGTGCGCTGGGTACTGTCCTGGATCATCTCCACGTAGAAGCTGTCATTGTCAACCGCATTGTCAGAGATGATCACTGCCCGCCCGCCGTGCTCCTGCACCACTCGGGTCTTGGAGAGGAAGGAGCAGCCCCTGGAAGAGGTGGTGATGAGACCAAAGGAAAGACAGGGTCCTAGCTAGCCCTCCTCCAGACTGCCACTGCAAGGATGAAAGAAGGACCAGGGAGAATTTTTTATAAGTGGCCAAAAGGCACGGATCATCTTAAGACATTTCTTAAAGACCATTCAAAATGTGAATTATTTAAGAACAGCTATTTCAGAGCACCACCACCAACACTGATCTCAGAATCTACCCTATGCCGGGCCCTCCTCTGGTGCCAGCGTCTGTCTGCTCCTTACCCTCTCTCCACCAGAGCGATCTGGTCCTGGATGAAGAAACCGTTGCTGAGCTCCCCGCAGGCCTCCGAAGGTTCTGCAGGGACAAGGTGAATCTGCTCATACCTTGTGTGCTGGAAGACATTTAGATAGGTCAGGGTGAGGAGCCATGCCAGTTCCAAGACCAGGCTGACAATCCCCTATTGGTTTCTCCCAAAGTGTGAAGGAAACACGGAATGGTTTAGGTATGTCGGGCACTGAAGTCTTTTAATTAAATTCTCACAAAGGCTTATCTAGTTGTCCCACTCGACCCTGCCTTTCTATGAGATACGTAGGAGAGTTGGTATGGACCCAGAAAGGGGAAGTAACCTGCCTTAAGTCACATAGTGCAGACAAAGCTAGCAGAGCCCTTGGTTTCTCACTATTTCATGTCCCCAAAGAAGACAGCTTGTCCCTGTCTGGTGCTCAAGTCTGTATTACACCTGGGAGGGTAGCTAACTGGAAATCTTTCCTTCCTACACAGCAGCCCCAGGAGGACAGACCAGGATTCTGCATTCTCCCCTGTCCCAGCACTCAAGTATTGGTTGAAGGGATGAGAGGGTCGCCTTACTTGGTGGGATGGAGATGGAGACAAGATCAGAGACAAAGGGGTCTCCCTGAACTTACAAAGATACCACCAAAGTCCTTGGCAGGTGTGGCTGTGAAGATGTAGCGAATGTCTCCAGGACTCAGCACTTGGAAGTACAAATAATCATGGATGCGTAAACCTGAAAGATAAAAGAGTACGGGTGAGAAGCCTCCAAAGAACAAGCTGGTTCAAGTTCAGATCATGGACCCATTGTCTTCAATGGGGCTGGTTGTAGTCTGGGTTCAGGGGCCCAGCTTTAGCCATGTTGAGTCCTCCTGGTGGGTGAGATGGATGGTCTCTGCCCTGATGCAAAGAAAGTTAGTAACCCCAGACAAATCAGCTGCTGCTGCTTCTGCTGCTGCTGCTTCTGCTGCTGCTACACAGGGAGAGCCTCTGTGTTCTCTCTCTTGGGATGAATCCATCTTTGCTCTGAAGTGGACCTGAGAGTTTCAAGGTGGAGCTGTGGTAGCCTGAGTATAAAACGATTCTCACTAAAACTTAAAAGTTGACTCTGGTTCCACTGCCATGCGCCTTGTCCAGCCACTGTCCTTTCTTGTCCTCATGGGTCCAACTTCTTAACTGGTCTCTTTGCCTCTGTTCTTGCTCTCTATGGTCTAGTCCCCCAAACAACAGCCATGGGGCTTCTTAAAATATTGTAAAGCAAATATGATGAGGTCACCACACTTACGGCTCCAGAACCCTTCAACAACTAGCCTTTGTGTTCAAAATAAAATCTAAATCTCAATTGTGGCCTGTAGGATCCTCTTCCATCTGGCCCTTGGCTGCTACAACCTCATCTACTCCTTCCTGGCCTCCTTTCAGTTTCTTCCCTTCTCTGAGTCTTCTTACAGGCGTTGCCTCTGTGTGGGAGGCTTCCTCCCCTTACCCCACCCCAGCTATGCCTCTTCACCGGGCTCACTCCTACTCATTGGTTAGGTCATAACTGATATGCCACTTCCTAGAGAAACCTTCTGCCCTGTCATTGCTCCCCCCCATGCCCCTCCAAAATGAGCTTTTTCTCCTTTGACACTTTCAACATAACTTGTAATTATACAGTATTCATACTGTTTTGTTTAATGTCTGTCTTCTCCACTAAGGCAAGAACCACAGTTTCAGAGCTTAGTTCAATGCTGTATCCACATTATGTAACAGCAGCTGGGATATGTGGGTGCTCAATAAAGGTTGTCGAAGGAGTGAAGAACTATTTTCAGCTCCATTGCACTGAGGAAGACAATTTTCAGAACAACCAGATTTTTCTGGGGTTTGGGATCTTCTCTTCAGCACCAAAGTTTAATATTTTACCTGGACTTGAATCCCTGGTTCTTCAGCTCAGAGAGATTGAGGAATGTGGAAATGTGGAAGCTGCTTGCCACAGGTCAAATAGTCAGTCAACAGACTATCAAACCACTACTGTGTGTCAGGGTTAGGACTGACTGTGGCTTTAGCTATCCTTGTCTCCAGGCCAAATCACAGCCACCAGAGAGAGTTCCACTGGCTTGGCATTGGGCTCACAGCTTTTACCCCGGGAGTGGGGACTTCCCATCAGATACAGATACATTCCCAAGAAGCCTTCTTTAAACTCCTCCTCCTTCCCACACATATCTTCGTCTGGCCTTTGCATCTGCTGATCTGTGTAAATCAAGTGTGGGTACACGTATGTGCTCAAGTGTGTGTAGGGTGTATATGTTTACTTGCTCCTTCAGGAGCAAACAGGTTGTGTGTGTACGTGTGTGCCTGTACATGTGAGCCCACGTGTAAGAATGTCCCTGTATGCTCACATACGTATCTCCAGCTTGTACTATCTGTAGCTGGCCCTTGTTCTTTCTCCCGGTCGCCCCTTCAGCCATCTGGGTCGGCGCTACTGGGGGCGTGGAGAGGAGTCCTGCTTCGACGTGGGGAGATGAGGACTCAGAGTCCAGCCTCAGGCCGCGCCCTGCTCAAGTCGCCAGGGGCCAGCACCCACCCAGTCCAGTCGCCCATCCCCAGACCTGCCCTGCCCCGAACTCGCGGGGTCCCCAAGGTGACCCGTGACTCCCCGGCCCGACACGCGAGCGAGCTAGAGGGCCAGCCCCGCCCCGCAGCGCAGCCCCGCCCGTTGCCGCTCACCGTGGGCCGCGACGCACGCGGGGAGCCAGAGCACGAGACAACACCAGCCCGCGGCGCCGGGGACCATTTCCAGGGCCCGGCCCGGCGCCGCGCTTCCTCCGGCCTCCCCACCGCGCTAGCTCGCCGGACTTCAGCCTGACAGCTGCTCCGGCCTCCAGCCCCCAGACCCGCTCTTGCTGCTGGTTGGCGGACGGGAACGAGGCCCACGGCTGATTGGCTCTGATGCCTGTTCGTGTAGCTACACTTTCCGCCTCTGCGCCTTAGCCTACTTCCTATTGGTCCAGAGAAGTGGGGCCGAGGACTGATTGGTCTAAACTCTTAACAGCAACTGCCACCGCCCCCCCCCCCGACCAACCCGCGCCCTAGCATTTCTTAGTTTGGATTCGGCTCCAGGACAGCGCGGGCTGGTGGGCCGGCCGGGGAGGAAAGCAAACTGGAGGTGGGCAGCCCTCTGGACTCGCTTCAGCCGCGGAAAGTCGGGGCCGTCAGCGGGTACGGACTCGGCCGGATCTTCCCTGCGACCGCCTAGCAAGACGACGATTTGCTTCTCCCAACCGTGCTTTCCTCCTCCTCACCCCCTCTTTGGGAAGGCGTTCGTGTGGTGCTCAGGTGGTCTTCCGCGACCTCCACTCTGCTCG